GAGTTGTACCTTAACAGTGTGTGAAACAGTCTAATATTTCATTAATATAAATTTTATGTTTTTTTTAGAAATACAAAACTAAAAGTCGCCAATTCGGCGATAATCATCAATTATTGCAACCATCGTTTCTTTTCTTTAGTATCGTTTTCAAGTTATATTTTTTTTACGTGTCTGTTTTATTTTATAATTTTTTTCTCCGTCATGCAATAACAATAATAAAAAAAATTGAAAAGTGAAATCTAATAAGGATATCGTAAATCACTCTTTTCAACTAAGTTGAAAAATTGGCTTGCTCCTAGCTGTCATTTTGATTCATATGAGAGAACTTTTTTATTTATTCTATATTACAGTTGAAACTTTGATGTTTGAAATACATTTTATAGGCGATAAATAATGCCCGTAATCTCGGGAAATTGCTGTTTTTTATAAACAAATGTGAATACCTGGAATGTGAATATAGAATTTCCTTTAGCTTATGTAACATTACTTCCGAAAATGATGGTATTCTAACGACCCTGAGTTGTTAAGTTGTATAACGGGATTCTTCATCATAATTTTCCTGTTATTTGTTACAAGCTTAATTCTTGCGGTTAACAAATTCTTTTACAATACGAGTAACAATGAGTTCAAATCTTGATTGACCTTCAATAATGATTTGCTAAGCTTTTATTTTTAGAAATTTGTTCCATTACTACTGGATGTTTTATTTTGGAAAGTGGAGTCGAATTTTTCTTTATGGGAGTCGGAGTTGGAGTTAAGAAAATTAACTCGACTCAGATTCCGGATTGTTGAAAATTAGGTCTTGTAGATGAAAAGAAAGGAAAAAATAAAAAAAATGAGTTCGATAAATATTTAAAATTATGTAAAAAAATATTATTGTGTAATGAATATTATGACAATAATTTAAATAAATTGATTATCACTAACTGTTAATCACATTTAAACATTGTTGAACCTATATTTAATCAAACTAGGCATTGAAAAAGAACAGAAAGAATAATTTAATTTTTAAATTCTAAAACCAAATTAATTTCCTGAGTTGCTAAGTTAATTTTTAAAAAAAAATATGGGAATGAATTGAGTGCATAATTTTTTAGCCAACGATTATTTACTCAACATTTTCTTTCTTTCTTTTTTTGCCTTTAGACATTTATACATATGTTAATGTGTGTATGAGATATTAATATGTAGTTATTTTCTTTCCATGGTTTTAAACAATTTCAATATTTTCTACAAAAATATTTTTTGAAATTTACTTCGCCACCTGTTATGTTTTATTAATTTTAAATAAAGTGCTCTTTACTTTAATAGTTCGTAAAAAAATGGAAATACATAATTTGAAATTAACAGTTACTTAATACTCTGGAGGACTATTACTAAACTATTACTTAACTCTGGAAGACTATTACTAAACTATTACTTAATACTCTGGAAGAAATTTTAATTTCGTATAAGTCGTAGTCGAACTATCAGGGATGTCCGGAGTTGGAAGTCGAAATTTTCAACTACCAACCGACTTTATAGGCGTAAATATGATTCTTTAGTTGAGATTGGATGATTCGATATGGAACAAAATATATAAGCATTTTTTTTTGTGTGTGTAATTTATTCCAAATTGTTATTTATTACCAAAATTGCTTCTGTTGCCATCCTTCTTCCTTAATTTATCAGTTTCTCCGAGTTAATTATTACACTAGAGAACAACTTTTTTTTCCTGTTGCATGTAGTGTTCACACTAACTATAAAAATTTTGCGGTCCAAGTATTTAGTATGGTAGACTAAATTGAGAAAAAAATTACTGAATTCATTTCATGGTACACATAAAAATTATTAATTGTCATCTATAACACTCTGAAACTAAATAGGTTCATTAACGCATAATCATTGAAGATTAAGATCAGTATTTATTCAAATTAAGTGAATAAAAGCTAAAATAATATTAATAAATAGATTTAATGCAGAGATTAAAATGTTGAGACCAAAAAAATAAATAAACGAGGAAAAGTAAGAACTAACAAAATATTATATTAAAAATTAATTGCCTAAAAATTATAAAATTTAAAATAATCATTTCTAATCGAGCAAAAAATGTTATTTTATTCATGAACAATTATACTGTGTCAGTACATAAATGTAAAGTACAGCACCACATGCAAATTGGAAATTTCAACATTAATATTTAAAAAATTTTTGTACCAGACCCTTTCAGTTATTTCATTTGAATACCACGGAATTGAATTCCGTGTTCCCCGTAGAACAAAGAACAGTAGAATATTTTTAAATGCATGGAATTCGATGCAAAAAACGATTTTTTGTTACTATTTTGTAAATTTCAAAAATATTTCAAGGCGATAAATTTGTCGCCCATGCATACGATTTTAGCGACATTTGTAGAATATTTGGCGAAAATTGTCGCTCTGTCGCCAAACTGGAGTGAACCCTATCATGAGATTTTATAACGGATTTAGGATATTTTCACGTCTCTGATTTCAAATTTGCAATCGGTTTCTCGATCCAAGCTACAGTTTTTTAAAAGACATTTTTGGTCTATAATTTGTAGAAATAAATAAGTTTAAAAACTGTTGCTTATATCAGAAGGTCGCATAAATGCAGCAACAAACTTCTAGGTGAGTCAGGGCACATCACCAGGATTAAAGTTACATAAAATCTTATGCCCGGAAATGTCGTCATACGCCACTAAACAACTGTAGATAAACTGTTTCTACGTGTGCTTCTGAACAAGTCAAAATAGAGAAATACTCCTAGCTGCGTACGACGACATTTCCAGCAATCCCGTGCAATTTTCATCGTGATAATGTGCTCTACGTGTAACATTTATGCGAACCCTTGTTTTATATAACGTTTTTAAATTTGTACATTTCAGTAAAAATAGACAAAAAATGATATTTAAGAAAATCTGTAGCATTAGCAGCAAAATTAATTTCAGATTTAAAATCCCCATAACAAATACAACAAAACATTTGCTCTCCAGTGCTATATTTCAGCGTTTTTATAAGAATAATGAAAAAATTCATTAGAGTAATATAGTCAAATGCTAGAACTTTATTTCATTTTTCTTTTTTAGTTGAAAGAAACACAATTTTCTAGAGTTTCCAGATTTATAAACAAATTCTACTCAATAGAGAGAAAACAAAAAGATTGTGTTCTAAAATTACAATATTTTTTTAATCATTTCAATTAGTAATTCTATTGTTTAACAAAAGTAAATAACCAATATTGCTGCGATTATTAATCGAACTTATTTTTGTTGGCAATAATCTATAATGTATATAAAATAATAAAATATCTGCTTATACAGTGAAGATCATTTAGTTGGAAGCACGAGATATTATCATTCCTAAATAATTGAATGAAATACCCATTGTAAAATTCTTTTAAGAATGATTACGTTAGAAAAAAATACTTAATTCTTTCCTTCTTTTTTGCGTAGGAGGGGGAGGGAAAGAGTTAAGCTAAGCACCCATAGCTCATGTGATATTAACCTTTTAAGTAGTCTTGTGTGCATATGCAGATGACTATTTGCTTTGCTCCTACTTTTTTTTATTTTTTTTATACCACACCCGTTAATAATACTTTAGATCAAAATTGTTTTTGCATTAAAATGTAATCAAAATTCTAATGTATGCAAACAATTTAGTTCCAACTCTTAAAATAAATTAATTTTAAAATTACTCAATTAAATTAAAATTCAATTCGTTGACCGTATGCTGTTCCATCTTAAATAACAGAAAAGCGTTTTAAATTCATTTTTGATATAAAAGAAGGAAGAAGAAAAAGTGAAGAAAATAATTATCATTTTTTTGATGTATACTATATAATTCTTTGCGAATTGGATTGCTTGTAGCTCAATACAATTAATAAATTTTATGAATCATATTTAAGTCCCCATCTGCATACTTTATGTTTTTTTTTATGATTTAACCATATTTGTTTGTGGTTGAAAGTGACTATTAGAATTTTGAGGGTTAGGATGTTTTTTCATTTGTTATAAGATAATCTATATTTCATTATAATCTTTAAAGAGGAAGGCGGAAGCCTTTCTCACTAAAGATTTTACAGATTTTAACAGCTTCTTTGTTTTTTCCTCGTTTTATAAATATACAATTTCTAAATTTTAGAATATTTTTTTATTTCCCTTTTTAAAAAGATTCTAAAAATGCGTACTAAGAGGCTTTTGCGCGTCACCTTGTATAATTATGAACTCCTTAGTTACACTCAGTTCAATACGATATATCAATGGATTTTTAACTTTGATCTAGTTGGAACAAATCTAAATTCAAATTGATTTAGTGTATCGTTAGTTATAGATTTAATAGTTGAAGTCTTTGAAAAAAAAATGTCGTTATTATGGGATTAAGATTACTAATGAATTGGGGTGTATTAATTTATGCATTAAATCTATTGAGGTTTAAAGTTGCCCCGTTAGGATTAATGTGGAAGTTGATTGAGAGATGTGTGTCAGATCAAAGCATAGGTCACGTTATTTGATTAAGGAAAAAAAATTAATTTGAACTTCGGTTTTTTTAAAAAATAGATTTTTGTGAATCAGGTTTCATACGTTTTCTGAAAGTATAATTGAAAATTTTTTGAACTCGCAATTTGTTTACGTAATTGGAATCTGAAATTTTATTTATTAAATTTATGAGTAAAATAGAAAAATAATTCTTATTGTATTGCGATAACAGAAAAAAATTATTTATTAATTTTCACATTCAACAAAAATACTTCGTAATACTATTTAAGCAATCACAGTAGTTTTTTTATAAAATTATACATTATCTATGACATACAAACATCAATAATTACATATTTTTCATAATTAGTTAAAGTCAACAAAACTAAAATCGTTTTCTTCCAGAAATGAATAAGGAAATTAAAAAAAAAAAAAACAGCGGAACTTGGTAATTATTTGCTTTATCGTTTGCCATTAAGAATTGGCGAAAACAAAACCGCGCCAACTATGCGGTAACCTCATTTCCTATCATGCTCTGCTTGATATTGATTTCTTAGTTCTTTAGCAGAAGAAATACCATGCTTGAGATTCAGTCATGAGATGGTTTCTTTTTCGTGCGCAGTTGAACCGTTGTCTCAAATAAAATCGTTTGCTGGTTTTGTTTATTATCTTGTTCTTTAATAACTACCTATTGGCAACAAGTATTATAATCATTCGATCATTAAACAGTTTCTAAGATTCTATCAATTATTTTTCATGTAGTTATTAATTGGGATAAATATGTTGATTGAAAAAGTAAGTTTCATTTTATGTTATGTACTTGTTGATTTGTTTTATTTTCTATGCAAATTTTCATTGCTATTTATTATCATATTTTTCAAATTTTCTGAAATTGCATGATTTTTATTATACGATAAATCTGTGATTTTATTAGTTTTATCTCCTGGTAAAATTCAGCCATTAATTCAAAATATTTTATTTTAAAGTTTCTGTTTTGTGTATTTATTAGAAGGTATGCTAGAAAAATAAAAAATTAAAAATACGCAGCGTAAATTCTTAACGTTATGTCTATTGTCTATTTAAAAAGAACAATTCACTTTTAGACCTTTTTGTATAAGACTAAATTTATGCATCGATTGTAATTTTGGAATTTTGAAACCACGATTCTTCCCGACTGAAGGTTACAACTGAAATTTATGTTCTTTTTATTAACAAGATAGCTTCAAAGCAGGGAGAACAATAAAAATGTCAGAGAATTTTAACTAAAATACCTCTTAGGTCAGATATTGGGTGTGATGGGGAAATTTTAAACTCTAATTGCAAGAAAAAGTGTTAAATGTTTTATAATAAAATACTTTATTATAAAACAAATGTTAAATGTTTTATAATAAAACGTTTTATACATTATTATAGTATATTGCATTTTATGTTTAAGATAAAAGCATAACTGAAATATTTATAGTATACTTTATGCCACCGGTTACAAAAAGCAGGGAAATTCGATAAAAATTTGTCTGAAAAATCGGGAATTTTTTTTTTCTGGGTGTGACTAACCTGATGAATAAAAATCCAATAATCCCCTAATCAGTGTATTTAATAGACATGTATGGTTGAAATCACTCTGATTTTTCGATGAACAAATGGACATTGTTCATGGAAAAATTTTCGAATTAAAGAAATTTTCGAAAAAATAATTTATTTTAAGATTTGAAATATACATGTTAAATAGTTCCCACTCGGGGAATCAATTAACCCATTCCCTCTGTGTACAAATTTTCGATTCAAATCGTTATTATAATTCGCAAAAGCAAATCACTTAAATGAGTCGGATTAAAAAAATGGTGGACTCGAACCAGTGATTCAAAATACAATTGAATTCAAATTCGTGGTAGGAATCACGAATCAGTGATATGTTTAGAACCTGCGATTCATATAAAGTTATTTGAATTGTTGCGGTATGATCTTTTGCTATACCGAATCACTTGATGAACGATTCGAATCGGTGTCAAAACTCGCCCCTTGGTGATTTAAATTTTGAATACTACTTCAGATATTCTAAAGCCAAAAACAATTTGAATGAAACGTGTCACGGAAATTCGAATCTAACAAAATGTTTTCAATTCATTGATTTGAATTGGTGATTCAAATCAACAGATTCGAATTCCTTAGTTAAGATTAGGAGCACCTATATGATTTCTTTCGTTGTGTGATTCAAATTAAACCATTTCATCCATGTGATTCATTTTAATAGATCTGAAATAAATAATTCTAACAAATGTTGAAATAAACCAATTTGAATCCGTCAAAACGGAATTAAAGAATCAATTTGGTCAAGATTTAATGATTTAAGATTCACTCGGTTCCTGTTATAAAACCTTTTTAAAAAATCCATCAGCTTATAAAAAAAAAATTTTTAAAGAAATTATTTTAATCCTATTCGATATATATTTTAATAAATACAATTAAAAGAACTGGTGGTATCAGTTCGCCGGCGCAGGCAATAAAGTCGCCAATGCTATCTCATTGAGTGCAAATAAATTTAATCGCTTTTTTTTTAAAAATAAATAAATAAAATAGCCGAAATTACTTCCGCCGGTAGAATAGAAAAGTACCAATTTCTTTTTTTTTTTCTAAATTTTTTTTGTGGGTGAGAAGAGGTGGAACTTGCGTACTTTTAGCTTTCAAAACTTTACATTTTGTATTACGTCCGAAATTAATTTTTATATATTTTCGACTTTCTGAAATGAAACAAAAACGATCTATAATTTGTTTTTAAATAAACTGAGAAAAAATAAAATAAAAACGAAGGTCGACAGTCGTCATAGTAATGGAAGACTATAAATGTATCTCTGATGCTTGTGATTTGATGTTGGTTAAAATTAATTATTCCTTCAATTATTGTAATTTCTTCTTCTCTGACTAACCTAGGCTTTAAATTTGTGAAAAAAAAGTTTTTGTTTTAACAAATAAGATTACGTAATTTTGTTGAATTGCGTTAAACAAACAAAATTGTCGCACAAAAGTTAAGACTCAACTTCGAAGGGTTTTTTTTTTCTTCATTTTGTTTGGTAGTACAAAAATATTGCTTTTAGGTAGAAGTCACGTTTGTTATTTCTAGTGCAAGTTGCATTTATCAATATAATTAGAAATGTCAAATATTTAAAAACTATTATTACTTTTTAGCTATTCAATATTTCTAATGGATAAAAAAATCTGGTTTTAAAAATTACACTAGGTACAGTGCGAAATATCGTCTAAGTTGTATATTACAATTTGCTAGAATTGATAAGAAAATTTAAAAAAAAGCATTGCGATTCTATAACTTAATTAATTTAATATCTGTAGTTTATTAGTCAAACTGTTTAGAGTATATAAATTTTTTGTTAGTAAATTCTATAGAAAATCTGATTGTGTAAAAACAACTAAAATTCTGTAAAATTTTTATTTTTTTGTTTCGAGACAGGATAGCTTCTATTTTCCAGCTGATTTATATAAAATTATAACAGCGTGTATAAGACTAATACTGTTTTCATTAAATGTAATATTTGTTGATAAAATTTGTATTGTTTAAACTTTAAACAAATTAAATAACAAAATCAAAATTAAGAAAATCTGAGTTTTCATATGTAAAGTAATCATTAACTTAATTGGGTTTTTTATAAAGCACCGGTTAATTAAAATTTTACATTGTAATCGAAATAATAATTGCATAACAATTTGCTTAATGAATTTTTTCTCATCTTCTAGAAATTATTTTAAATTTATTTGCTATGTGACAAATGTGTTTTTGAAATTTTTTGCGATTAATTAGTATGAACCAAAATAAAATGTAAAAGTGCTAATCTATGCTGGTATATATATTAAATTTAAGATATGTAAAAGTGCATTCTTTATCTAATATGACCAATTTAAATTATATGTCACGTTCGGCATGCTTTTCAGTATGGAAGCACTACATATTTTTAAGCGCAAGATCTTGCATACTAACATTCAAAACCGGTTTTATTTTGCAAATGAATTAATTATTCATTGTACTTTTTTTGTCTTAATAAACAGTTTACTTTTTTCCTACTAAGAAAACTGTAAAAAATTTAAAAATAAATTTAACTTTTAGTAATAGTTGACTTAAATATTCTATTCATTTTCAATTTATATATTTAAAATGTTTTTATATATTTCAAATTGCATATGTAAAATATATAAATAACAGTAATAAAAAATAGTGCAAATGTACACAGAAAAGCAATTTTAATCTAATTTACGTAAAGCAGCTTATTTTTACATAAGCTGCCTTAAGTATGTTTTAATTTTTTATCTATCTTGGTTGTCCCACAGTGGATTGATCGTTAAGACACGGTTCCCAGCAGAACACCGAAGTCGAGCATCACTCGCTGTGGTCAGTGTGCGGGTGGGTGACCACTTGGATTAGTCTGCGTAGGGACCGAGGGTGTGCGGTATTGGTCCTGGTTAAACTGTTCTACCATAAAGTGCTCGACTTCGCATGCAGGTCGTCGGGCTAACGAAGAGGGGGTGCCATCCCCTATGCAGAGGATCAAAATTGTGTTGGCATGNACACCGAAGTCGAGCATCACTGGCTGTGGTCAGTGTGCGGGTGGGTGACCACTTGGATTAGTCTGCGTAGGGACCGAGGGTGTGCGGTATTGATCCTGGTTAAACTGTTCTACCATAAAGTGCTCGACTTTGCATGCAGGTCGTCGGGCTACCGTCATCCGTAGGCCATCCCCTATGCAGAGGATCAAAATTGTGATGGCATGTCTTCGGATCATCCTCAAGAATGTTTCCTAGACCGTCGCCAATAGCCCATTGTGCAGCTCTAGTGTGACGTAAATGAACTACAACTACATCCATCTTGATTGACGAAATAATTTTAAATCACATTCATTTAAATCTGGAATTAAATAATTAAAGCGTAAAAATTTGTAGCACGATAAATTAATTCGATAGATCCTATTAAATTGTTGAAAATTCTAATGGTAAGTTCTGAACAATAATAAGTTCTGGACAAACCTAAGCTATTGTTATCATTAAATCCGTTCTCTGGAACAGCGGTTCCTATTTTTTTTCCGCAATGGAACTCCAAATTATCAATCTTCATTTGGCGGAACACCGATTTTATTAAGAAAGTTCATCAGCCATTGTGAACATGCTGTCTAATAAAAAAAGACTACTAATTATCTTGAAATCATTTATTGTGGTAATAAAATTTCTGAATTAGTTCTTGGTTTCATAGGTTAAAAATAAGCTGGAATATGAAGAAGAAAAAAAAATTGTAATAAACGTTGTGAATTGTTGTCAGAGAAACATAATTATTTAATCTTGAATTTGGTTGCTTAATTTTGAATTGAAAATATTGATGAGAAGCATTTATGGGATTTTTAATAAATGCATGTTTTATTCATGATTTTTTTCAATGTATTGTTATTGAGAATTTTTTGCTACTTACATTAGCATTTTATATAAATAATTTCATATAAAATAATTTATGGATTGCTGATTGAACGTAGAAATAATTATTAATGCTTAAAAAAAGTCCTAACTCTCGGAACTCATGTAATCCTTGCACAGAACACAATAGTTCCGCTGAACAACTGTTGGGAACCACTGCTTTAGAACTGCAGTCTTCTTCTTGCTTAACTTAATAAACTATGTGTCTCTAACTGAACAGTTTAAATTTCAAAAAGAAAACTGAATTATCATTAAAAAAGTGTTAACGACGATTTGTTCGATACCCTGAAGTTTTTTACAATTACCATGATTAATATTAAATTAAACTT